TAACGGTTAAACAAAAACGAAGCAGCACACGTTTAGAACGCCCAAGACATTATTCGCTGGTCACGTTTTAATTTTTCGTTTTCTAAGGTTTTATTTCCAAACACCTCCGCGTATTGAATTTCTTTTCGTTTGCCTGTCCGGTCTCAAATGTGTTTAACCAGCCGGTGATTTTTAAAAACGGACGCAGACATTTCGGCATCCTTTCCCCGGCCGTGTAGCCCCACTTTGGGATCGATTTGTGACGGATGCTCTCCGGTTTTTTCTTCTTCTTCTTTTCAGACTCGACAACGACGCCTTCGATGAGGACGGGAATTCATTATCCGACATGGGTTTCGACAGCGATCAGATTTCCATCCGGAGCCCCCCATCCCTAAACGACGACGCGTACACGTTGTACTACCCGCCAGAGCAAAGGTAAACGTGATGCGGATTCCATTTGTTTTTTAATGACTTCTTTGCGATAATGTTTGCTTGCTTTGTTTCTCCCAGAGTTTCTCATGTTATTTGTTCAGTGTTATTTTCACGCCGAGTAGCCTAAAATGTTGGTTCCAAAATTATGTTAATAATCACGAATAAAAAAATAAATTAAAAAAAGGAGCTCGGCACAAACGGAAGGATGTGCAAAAAAAAGAAGAGAAAACTTGTGAAAATGTGACATTGGCCCCGCGTGCGGGTGGGGACATTTTAGGCTACTTTTTGCTCATTTTGTCTGCGCTTTTTAGTCACTGACGATCTATGTATTTTGGCGTTTTATCATCTCAGACCAGAAAGGCATGCTGAGGAAGAATTAGATAGAGCCTTGAGGGAGATCCTGGGTCAGTTAACAGCGAGACATTATCTGCATTCTCTGATGACAATTCGTGCAGGGTAAGGGCATTTCTTATTAGCGTTCACCTGCAGTCATCACTTTGTATGTTTCTCCGCTGCACAAGTCCAGGCTGCTGCATCATTGTCTGTCATTTAATGTGCGTGTTTTGTTCTCGATTTTCATTTTTTTGTGTTTGTCTCTCTCTATGGGAAAAAAACCTCTCGTCATTTTGCATTTGTTTGTGTTTTGTTGTCGTTGCTGTTGTTGTTGTGGCGTTGCGTCTTGATTAGAGTCCATCACTTGACATTGAGGGTCAGCTTTCTGAGACCAAAAAAAAAAAATGTTTTTCCCACGCTCTGATGAAAAAAAAAAAAACATGCGTCAGAATATGTAAGCGGTTGATATTAATCATTTACGACTTCTCTTCTTTTCACTGTTTTGCTTGGCGCCGCTTTTTAAAAAAGAAAAAAAAGAACCCCCAAAAGGCCCCAAAATGAATTATTAATAATCAAAGGCCACTTTACATCACGGCAAGATTAAATAAAAAAATAATTTAAAAAAAGAGCATCGACGTGTTTGAAAGTGGAAGCCTGCAGCGACAACTCGTGTTATTTCCCCTTGTTGTGTTCTTTTTTTTTCAGCGATGACAACAGCATGGAGGAAGAGTCCGAGCCCTTGTCCAAACGACACTCAGATGGGATCTTCACCGACAGCTACAGTCGCTATAGAAAGCAGATGGCCGTGCAGAAATACCTGGCGGCGGTTCTGGGGAGAAGGTACAGACAGAGAGTTAGGAACAAAGGACGCCGACTTGCCTATTTGTAGCCTTCTTAAAGCGCCCAAACTGCCCTCCTGTGTATATACATCCAGTCGTTAAATCAAAGTCATTCAGATATATCTGACCAACCAGTGGATTGCGCCTGTGTTCTTTCAACATGTATTTATGTATGAAGTAAAGCCATTAAAATGAATATTTTAATAATAATATCGTTTTTTTTTTTCTTTTTGTACAAAAGCACTTGATACCGCACAGTTATACTTTGTGGACCAATATTTTATTTTTCATGTTGAGATGTTGAAAACAAAACAAAATGGCAAAAAAAGAAGAAATTAGAAGAAGAAGAAAAAAGAAAAAAAAAAGAAAATTGTGCACCTTCAACATTATGCGCTTGAAACTTTAAAGGTCATCTACATATGCAGAAAATAAATAGATTTTAAAAAGACAATCAAAGTATTGAATGTTATACTTATTTTTGTAACCAACGTTCTATTTTTTTAGTGTTGTTTGTTTTCCAAACAGGCCCAAAGAAGCAGTGAGCATGCGATGTGAGGCATATGGGGGCTTATCCTAAATGCTAGATGTGGCCCTTGTACCCCCCCCCCCCCCCCCGTGAAAGCATATCCATAATTTGGGCGTGATCTCATTGATCTAATATTTCACTGCTAATTGCTGCATTCTTTTTATTGAAAAAATAAATAAATAAAAAATTTGGCCACGCGCGTTCGTGATGTGTGATCCTCCTCACGTCCTTTGTTTCGATTCTTACATTATTAATGAAGCTTCAACCCGCGTTAAAGGAAGCAGCGTCAAGTTGGAATTAAACGCAGATTTCTTCCCCCGCAAATAAATAAACGGTTAAACAAAAACGAAGCAGCACACGTTTAGAACGCCCAAGACATTATTCGCTGGTCACGTTTTAATTTTTCGTTTTCTAAGGTTTTATTTCCAAACACCTCCGCGTATTGAATTTCTTTTCGTTTGCCTGTCCGGTCTCAAATGTGTTTAACCAGCCGGTGATTTTTAAAAACGGACGCAGACATTTCGGCATCCTTTCCCCGGCCGTGTAGCCCCACTTTGGGATCGATTTGTGACGGATGCTCTCCGGTTTTTTCTTCTTCTTCTTTTCAGACTCGACAACGACGCCTTCGATGAGGACGGGAATTCATTATCCGACATGGGTTTCGACAGCGATCAGATTTCCATCCGGAGCCCCCCATCCCTAAACGACGACGCGTACACGTTGTACTACCCGCCAGAGCAAAGGTAAACGTGATGCGGATTCCATTTGTTTTTTAATGACTTCTTTGCGATAATGTTTGCTTGCTTTGTTTCTCCCAGAGTTTCTCATGTTATTTGTTCAGTGTTATTTTCACGCCGAGTAGCCTAAAATGTTGGTTCCAAAATTATGTTAATAATCACGAATAAAAAAATAAATTAAAAAAAGGAGCTCGGCACAAACGGAAGGATGTGCA